AGCAGAGACTTCTTGCTGGATCCTGGAGCACCAGTAAAGGCCCGGCCCGGAACCTCAGGGCTAGGTGAGACAGAGCCCTGGGCCTCACTGACTCAGAACCCACCTTGGGGGAGGCCAGGGATGTGCTGGGGGGCTCTGGGGACTTGGATGTGCTGCGGCATGCCCCAATCTGGGGAGACGGGGGCAAGAGGCTCTGGGGTCATCTGGGGCTGGCCATGCCCTTAATCCCCCTCAACCCACTTCAAGAACGAGACAGCAGCCTTACGCTGGGAGTAAGAGGGAACAAATGCAGGGACTCATTCATGGCCATGCTCTCAGAGGGCAGTGGATGCAGAAACGCTGGCTACCCGTCCTTCCAGGGGCATCTGGAGGGAGAAGAGGCCAGGTCAGTGGCCATGATTGCTTCAGAAATTACATCTCTGGGAATTACACCACAGCCGAAGCTCACCCAGGGCCATCTCTCCCTGCTGCTGGGGTGCCCGAGGAGGAAAGGGTTCTGGGGATATGGGGCAGCAGGAACCTGGAGCTCTGTCCCAAGAAGAAAGCATGGCCAGGGACAGGGGCCCATGAGGGGCAGGAAACCCCTCCCTAAGAGTGTGCCCCTGGGAGAGAAGGGCGGGGTGCCACCCACAAATGCAGGTGGCAGGAATGCACCCATACCTGCCCACTGATGGCTGAGGCTTTCTCTGCAGTGAGACAGGCTGCATCAGAGCATCCATACTCCCACTCAGCCAAGTGGAGGGCAGGGAGAGTGAGTTGGTCTGTAGCCAGGGCTAGTGACCCTCTTCCTATTAAGGTCAGGTGACTTCAATGCCACCCCTCTGGGGGGGGGGGGCGGTCTCAGTGACATGGCCAGTCCATCACCACACGTGGGCCCTCTGCCATCCCCGGGCATCCTGTTCCCTTGGTGATACAGAGGGGCTCCTGGGAGGGGCAGGGCAGAGACAGGCTCAGAGACGGGTGTAGGCTGCCTGGGGATCCTTCTCTGGCCGAGACCCTGGAGCCCTCTCTGAAAAGCACCCAGGGGCCAGCTCCTCTGCTGATCTTGGGAAGGACCCTGCTTTCTTTCCCATGTCTCCTCAGGGTCAGGCAGGTAAAGTTCAGGCTCCCCCTGCTTAACTAGACTCTTCTGCCAGGAAATGAACTTCTCAACACAAGGGTGAGTGGGCGGGGTTTCCCGCTACCTGGAGGGGAGGCTGGGACCCAGCCGGCAGAAACTGTCAGGACCTGCTGCTGAGAGTCACTGGGAATGTCCGTCTGCAGAGAGCATGCCTCTCTCTTCCTGTACTTGGGCACTCTCTCGAAGCAACCTGGCCTTCTTGAGTCTGGCACAGGTGGCAGCTGCAGGACCAGGGCTGGAGGACACAGACTCCTCTGGGACTCTGCTGTGGGCACAGTGGAGACTTTGCCCTGACAGGGCACTGCCCAAGGAGGTGCCTTTTTCCTGCCTGACCTGAGTGGAAAAACCTGAATAGAGCCAGACCATGGAAAGGTCTCTGTCACATTCAGGGCAGGGGGGCAGCAGGATGGGGAGAGAACCTGCGTCTGGGACAAAGTTCATATTCTTAGAAATGCCTGAACCCTGGCTCCTGAAGGCTTTCTCCAGCCTGTCCTGGGGAGAGGCCACAGGGAGGCCTGGAGGCTGGCCTCCTCATGTCTGGTGACCCTGTGCTAAGAACTGCAGAGCCAGACCTGACCTCGCAAGGCTCACTGAGTCTATCCTCACCCTCCTCTTTCCAGACCTCAGGGAGTGGGACTCAGCCATGACCTCAGAGGGCTCATGAGGGACCCAGAGCTCCTCCAGCCCAGGCTGTGGCCGTGCTCTCAGGGGCCAGTGTCCTCACGAAGGCACAGTGGCACTGTAAGACCAGAATGTCCATGCAGGACATCCTGGCCTTACCATGCCCTCCCTGGGAACCTGCCTTGTCAATGATTCCATGGGGTGGGGGGAGGGGAGGAGGGGGAGGGGGTGGGAGCAACAGTTCCCCCCCAGGCTCTTTTCTCTGGATACTTCTCCAGGGATGCACCCACCTCTGGAGTTCACAAAGGCTCAGATAATGGATGTGTGCTCTCATCCTCTACCGACTATTTTGACAGTGACTCCCTTAGATACGTGACAAGCTGATTCAGGCCGATGAGTAGTGGCCGCCGTCATGGTGTGACATGGGGAAAATATCCCAATGTCACATCTGTGCTCAGTGGGAAAAGTGCTGCAATTGATTGGTAATGTCTGTCATGGGTGATTGATTAGTAATGTCTGTCATGGGTGAAGGACTGGAGTGGTGGTATAGCTGCTGTTTTGTCTTCTCTGATATTGCATTGTGGACGTTTAGAAGCACTTTCACATGCGATGCCTCATTTGATTAGAACATGGGTCTAGGGATGATGCAGATCATTATTCATTTATGAAGGGAGACATCAGGAGCATTGAAGTCAAATGTGCCTTTTTCTAAGTCACCCACAGGAATCAGGGCCAGAGCCAGGGCGAGGCCCGATGTCCTGAGTCTGAGGTCAGTACCGGGGAGACACTAGCTTGGGGAACGCTGGAGATCAACCTGCCAAGGTGTTCGTGAGTCTCTGGGAAAAGAGCGCTTGGTAAATCTTCCCCGGGCTTGAAATTTGCTATTCTGTATGCATATGTATAGGGTGCTGGCAGGAACAGAGCGTGTGGAAGGGCATGCGCTGCCCACGCTGGAGCAGACGGCCCCTCTGGTTGCTGGTAACTTTAAACATGGCAGGCCTGCCTCCGACTTGCCCCAATTTCATCACATCGGCAAGGCACCCCGGGAAGAGAAAAGGGACCATTTCAGGGAGATGCATTGTGGACGTTTAGAAGCACTTTCACATGCGATGCCTCATTTGATTAGAACATGGGTCTAGGGATGATGCAGATCATTATTCATTTATGAAGGGAGACATCAGGAGCATTGAAGTCAAATGTGCCTTTTTCTAAGTCACCCACAGGAATCAGGGCCAGAGCCAGGGCGAGGCCCGATGTCCTGAGTCTGAGGTCAGTACCGGGGAGACACTAGCTTGGGGAACGCTGGAGATCAACCTGCCAAGGTGTTCGTGAGTCTCTGGGAAAAGAGCGCTTGGTAAATCTTCCCCGGGCTTGAAATTTGCTATTCTGTATGCATATGTATAGGGTGCTGGCAGGAACAGAGCGTGTGGAAGGGCATGCGCTGCCCACGCTGGAGCAGACGGCCCCTCTGGTTGCTGGTAACTTTAAACATGGCAGGCCTGCCTCCGACTTGCCCCAATTTCATCACATCGGCAAGGCACCCCGGGAAGAGAAAAGGGACCATTTCAGGGAGCCACTCTAGAGCTCTTCAGTTACCATGGAAACTCACCCTTGGAAACTGCTTCAATTTCAGGGAAATAGCTACAAACAATAATAAGCATAAATGAAAAATGGTACACCGTTCCTTCAAAATTGTACTTGTTATTGGATTTCGTCGGGTTTTAGGATCTGAACGGCAGGCTCATATCCGTGAGCACAGAGGAAAGCAGACATCTCTGCCTGGCTGCCGGCCTAATGACATAGCCCACATCCTCCCTCCCACCTCCCTAATCAAGTTTCTGGATGTGACCTCCGGGGAGGCATTCATCAGAGGAGCTCATGTCTGAACTGTGGGAGGAAGGAGGATGTGCCTCGCAAAAAACAAACATTTGCTGAGCAGACTGGAAGGCAGCACGGAGCCATGTGGAGGGAACATGGGCGAGGGAGTGATGTCGCTGTGCAGGCTTTCCTCAACTGACATGGACATTCGCCTGGGCCTCGGCTAGAAAGCCTTTAAGAAATCAGGTGGCGGGAATAATAGCTGAGCGGGGAATCTCCGTTCTGACCTGTTTTCAAGGACTCTCGGGGTTGGAAAGGGCCTTATAAAGACGACCAGGTCCAGCTCCTTCCCCTATGTGATGCTTCTATTCTCTTGGCTACATCCTCACCTGATGATTCCTGAGTTCGTGCTTGGACTTTTCTAAGAGTTATACCGTTTTTCCTGACACTGAGCTGGAATCTAACTCCCTGTAGCTTCTACTCCCGAACAATCAGCCTTGTGGCGATGCTGGCCCTGCAGCCTCCTGCGGTCATTCCCCTGGCCCTTCGGTGTTTTCCATGGGGCAGACGCTAGTGGGCCTCTCGCGGCTGTTCTCAGAGCTCTCAAAGGAGACAGGAAGTCTCTGTTGCTAACTGCGGGCTCCTGAATCATACTTAAAAAACCACTGTGCCTATGCAGGCCTGTACTCTTTCAGATCACCTCATTTATCCTGATACCCGCTCTTGGAAAGCAGCTAAGGAAGGCAGGGGGGAAAAGTTATACCTAGGGCCCACTGTACTATCTGTCAGAGAACCCCACTGCATAGGTGAGTAAAAACGAGGTACAGAGAAGGTGGCTGCCCTGCCCATGATCACCCAGAGAGATGGCAAGGCCTGGACAAGAGCACCAGCATTCTGCTCCTAGTCTCCGAACCTCCCATAGGAAGGCCACTGAGCCTTAGGCACCCAAGTTCTGAGCCCCATGACCTGAGATTGGGGGTCCCAGGGGTCATTTTCAATGACAGCCTACCCTGGGACATCTGCTGAATCCTGCCAAGAACCTCCTCTGAAATGGGGAAGGCAGCCCAGTGATCAGGGAGACTGACACCCCCCCCTCCCCCCCAGAGAAGAGCATTTTGTTATCCGGAGTCTCCAGGGCAAGGATCTGATGTGTAACAGTGAAAGCCCCTTGGGGCTAGACTGCCATATGGAAACTTACAGCAAAAAGCCACAAATATATCACCCAATCCTCCCAGATTCTTTCACCCGCTCAGGCAGGCTCCGGCTGAAAGGAAATGCCTTGCCCCTGAAGGAAGGAGCTTGGCCTTTCCCAACAGAGCAGCAAGGAAGCCACCTCCCCACAGACACCAGGGAACAGAGGCAGCGAGGCACTTGCAGGCAAGGAGGGGGCGAGGGGAGAGGAGGGCCTGAGGCCTTTTGCCGGCGTGTGGGGCTGACTCACCAGGCTGTGCATGATGCGCACGCCATCGGGGTTCACCGTGAGCGCCTCCTTGTACAGCTGCTTGGCCTCCTCCAAGCTGCCCTTCATCTCGGCCAGCCGGCCCCGCATGTAGAGTACCGAGTGCGAGGTGGGGAAGAGGCTTGCTGCCTCCTGGATGCAGAAACCGGCTTCCTTGAGGTGCTGCTGCTCCATGAACAGCTCAGCTGCAAAACCAGAAGGACAGGGGGAGGTGAGAGTGTGGAAAAGTCAGAGGCAGTGGCCCCTCTGAGGGAACCGGTCTAGGTGATGGGAACCATCTTCATGAGCCAGCACAGGACAGGTTCCCTCTGAGTGCTCCCTGTGTCAGGCACTGTGCTCTGTGCTCCACACAGACTGTCTCAGCCAGTGCTCACAAAGCCCTGCCTGAGTGCTCCCTGTGTCAGGCACTGTGCTCTGTGCTCTGTGCTCCACACGGACTGTCTCAGCCAGTGCTCACAAAGCCCTGTAGAGCAAGCCCTTTCATTGCTCCGCTTCAGGGAGGAGGAAGCTGAGGCACAGAGAGGGCAGGGAACTCGCCTGAGGCTGCAGGGAGAGTAAGTTAGGAGCCAGGGTTTGCATCGGGCCCTGGACTTCAGAGCCCACAGGGGCACAAGGGCATCTCCTGGAGTTCGGCGATGCTCAGATGACTGACTGTCTCCAGTGCCTTTCACACTTGCTCATTGTGTCTGGGGTAGGGGATGGAGGCAGAAGTGGTGGCTCTCCTCCAGCTCTCAGTGTCCGGGGAGGGGGGCTGACAGTGCCCACCGAGGGAGAGTTCAGTGATCCTGCCAAGGATGGGCTGGGCAGGCAAGGAGGAGAGAGGCCCAGGGAGCCCCTGTGAAGGGGCAGAGCTGGGCTCCACTCAGGAGAGTAACAGCTACCGAGCAGCCGGCGCGGCCTGAGAGCTGACTGTGGGCCAAGGCCCGACTGTGTGAGCATCTCCTCTCATTAATCCTCACAAGTCTGGAAGGGAGGCAGTGCTCTCAGGAGCCCCACGTTAACAAAGTAGGCTGACAGAGGGAGGACCTCACCCCCATCCCTCGATGGGCAGGGGCCAGGCAGGGCTGGGCCCCCAGCAGCTCCTGGCCTCCCTCCGGGGGACTTTCTTCCACACGAAGAAGAGGACACACGCACAATTTGCCCCACAACCACTTTGCCTTTGTCCCCGGATCAGTGGAAAATGGGGCCGATTCTTCAATCTCTGTCCAGCCCACATAAATGCACATTTCAAACCCTCCTGCGCAGGCACACACCCACAGCAGGTGCTTGCAGCAACACAGCTCTCTTAGGTTGCAGCATGGCCTCCGGGCCCACCCAGGCCTCACGCAGCCCTGGACCCAGCTGCCCCTCCTGAGGCTGGTGCCGGTGCACAGATGGGAGCACAGAAGGGAGGCAGAGCCTGGCTGTTCCTAGCAAAGGCTGGGGCTGAGGTTACACAAGTTCAGTTTAGGGCTGGGGTGGGTTGGATAACAGACATCCCAGAAGGAAGCTCCCAGAAGGAGGCGGAAAACCCGGGCTCAGGCACCCCATCTTCCTGCTCCGACAAGAAGCAGGAAGGAGGCCTAACCAAGGCCGGGACTGCAGCACACAGCACTTGGGTGCTTGGGAAGAATGTTGCCTGAGGCTCATTGTGTAATCGCGTAGCTTGCCGCTTCCTAAAATACTACAGGGGCTTTCTCAGCAAGGTACTCTTTCTTCAGTGGAGATGAGAATTTGGGAGAATGAGAATTAATTAAACACAGGAGCCAGGCTCCCATGATGAGGCGAGAAAGAGAACTGCAGGCTCTTGTTCCCTGAACTGGAGATTCCCAAGACAGAAAACTTGGGGAGGTGAGCCCAGGAAGGGCTGGCCCAGGGGGCAGGGGTTTGGCTCTCTCATCCTTGGCTCTGCTGCTGTGTTCCCTTCTGGGGCTGCAGCCTGGAGCTCTGAGCAGGCTGCCTTCCCAGCTAAGTGTCCGATGTGCTACGATTGCGTCCTGTGGTGTGCCTGGCCTTCCCACGAGGAGAAAGAGTGAAGCCACCAAACCACTGGAGTGGCCCGGGCAGTGGAGTGACAAGTGCCAACTCTGAGTGTTCCAGGGCCTCAGAAGGGGTCAGGCCCGCTATGCTGGTGTGGTCAGGGGAGTCTTCTGGCTGTGGCAACATTTGAGCTAAGGCCTGAAGGCCCAGGGGCACTTGGACTGGCAGAGAGGAGAAGGGGGGCTGTGCTAACCTGGAGGGCCAGCTCCACTGTGGCAGAAGTCCCCGGAGTCACAAAGAGGGAGAAGCAGAAGGAAGTGTGCGGTGTGAGTGCCGGGGGTGGGAAGGCCTCCTGCACCAGCCCACCTGGTGGCTTCCTCCCTGGCCAGGAGCTCAGCTCTGAGGCTGGCTCCCCGCTCCCCTAGACCTTGCTCCAGCAGGCCCGCCAGGCCCGGTCCACCTGGCCACCTGGTCTTGGCACGGCTCATTAAGCTGTTTACAACTTGCCGCCCTGTCTCCTGAGCTTCATCTCTGGAGGCTGTCCCTGGTCCCTCCCTTGGGGATTCCTCAGTGTCTTGACATCAACAGATTTCAATGACAGGATCCCCGCCTCCTTTCTTCCTTGGGGCCCTGGGCCTCGTCAGGCTGGCCGTACACCAGAAAGCATGTCCTGGAAAATAGGTAGGGCTGCTTTGCTCCAATGGACTTCATTACCAGTCAGGCAGGAAACCAGATGACACAGAACAGAGCCAGAGAAGCGAGGTCTCCCTCAGGGCCTTGCAGACAGCCCCTGGCAGGCCCAGCCTCCAGGGCGGGGCCTCGGACCTGCAGACAGGCTCACAGGTCTGGGGGCTGCAGTGTACCCCTTCGTCCTACACTGTCCCTGGGCAGTTTTACCAAATAGGCAGTCACATGGCACTGTGCCCACCCTTGCCCTGTTCCTCTACCCCCAGGCCCTGGCTGCCAGGGCCCCGAGGTGCCCACATGCACCCCGGCCTCCCCTGGCCAGAGCCCGATGAGCACTCACTGGTACTGAATTTTCCTTGAATTCTCATAGTTGTGTCATCCCCCCAGGAAGCAGGGGCCCTCAGTGTCAGAGGGCCCTCTCCGAGCCTCTCAGTTCCTTTTCTCTCTCCTTACTCTGTTTTTCTCACTTCTCCCATCTTCCTCTCTGCCTGCTTTTGAACCTCCTGTCTTGCCTGTCTGCCTCGGCTTTTCTTCCTCTTCCCTCCATCTCTCTCCACCCGCCCCGCTCTGTGCTTTCTCTTGGCAGACTCCAAATGGAAAACATCTGTTCCCTGGAGCTTTGCAACAGTCCCTTTTATTATTTTTTCTAAGGCATCCTGCTAACCCTGCACCCAGAGCTGGCTTCAGGCTTCCTGCCATTCCTGCCAATGCTGAGGCCTCATCCCCCGAGGCTGGGGGATGGACTCGCTCTTCGTGGACTATTTGCACATCCTGGTCATGAGCTGCGGAGCTGGGTGAGGGAGGCCCAGGACCTCGCCTAGGCCTTTTAGGGGCCTTCTCATGGGAGATAGAGACCCTCTGAGAGAGCTCAGAAAGGACAGAGCCCCCCCCCCCCCAAAGCAGGAGAGAAGTAAAGGTTAGGCCCTAAAAAGAATCCACCTTAGCCCCGGGGAGTCACCAAAACTGCCCCTAAAGGCAATAAGCATCTTCCCCATGGAGCAGATGCAGGAGTTTCAACACCCAGAACAAAGGCTGCGGGGGAGCGGGGGGGAGGAGGGATGAGGGAGGAATGGAAGAGAAGGCGAGAAGACCCTGGAGATAACAGAGAATCCTAAGGTCTAAAGGGATTTGGGGTTGGTCTGAGACCCTCCGCCCCTAGGACCCAGAGACAGTCACGATGTGCCTCAGCCACAAGGGAATGAAGACTGCAGGGGCCTGGGCTCCCCGATTTCCTGTCCCTCGGCCCTGACTCCGGGTTCTGAGAGCACTCTCCTCACTAACTCAGGACCTTGCAAGGAGTGAATGACAGACAGAGAGGCGGGAAGAAGAAAAAACCGGAACAAGGGAAGAGAGGACTTGGGAAGAAGGTACAGAAGGCAGGAGGGAGTGGGTGGTGGGAGCTGGGAAAAGAGGAGAGAGTGAAGGAAGATAAAGAAAGGCACGAGGAGAAATGAGGATGGTGGCAATGCGGGATCAAGGGTAAGACAGCTTCTTCCTTGACTATACTTTTATAACAAATATGACCTTTACACACAGCCCTGGTTGTCCCACTCCAGTTCCCCAGCTGCCAGCTGGGGTAGCTTCCACCTGCAGGGCCACCTAAAGAGCTAGGGCACCAGTGCCCAGGCAGTGTGAATTGGCCATTTGGGAGCTGAGATGTGGGCCAACTTCCCCCAACCCAGGGAAAGCCAATGGCCACCTGTGAGCCCCTAGACCTCCAGGCAAGGGAACTCTCCCTCCATCCATCTGCCTCTCTCTAGCACAGTTAGTTCCCGAGACTGAGCAGCAGTGAGAGAGGGAGGTGGGCCATCTTGCTCTCCTGAAAGTACCGCCAGATATGCAGGATCCTGGAGCATCTATAGGGCTGGTGCTTCTCCTATTCTCACACAGACCTGCTGCCAGAGGCAACATTCCTGAAATCCACCTCTCAAGTGGAGACCCTTCTCACATCAGACTGGAATGGGAAAACAGGGGGGTAGGGGAGGGGAGGACAATCAGAATAGGGAGATCAAGGACGCAACATTTCCCAACCGAAGAGGGGGGTTAATGACGGAACTTACTGCCAACACAGACTGGGATGCAGTTTATCTTGAACCAAACCAGGGAGATTAGCTCAGTCCAAAATGATAAAGGGGGATATTTTCCCTTCCTGCAAAATTGCTGCAGCTGCTGGAATCATTAGGTGGTGGGTGGTGGTGCTGATGTCAATACTCTTAGCTCAGGTCAGGTGAGGGGAAGGGCAGTAGTTAGGGAGAAGTTACTGCCGTGGTGATCTGCTCTTGGCAGCCCTTCATCCAATAGGTGCTCAGCACATGCTTGTTGGCAATGATGGTGGCCAGGGAGGGGAGAGGGCTCATGGGATGCAGATGGCTCCAGAATTCTCCCATGTGCAGAATGGAAGATCTAGGACAAGTTCTCATTTCCCCTCTGGCCGTGGCAGCTGTCCACCAGTCTAGTCCCCCTTTCTTCTATAGTGACAGATCCCCTGATTTTTAATGGGGCATATGAATAATGACATTTCCCACAGTGCTTTGCAGCTAGGAGTGGGGTCATGTGACTAAGTTCTGACCAATGGGGTTGTAACGGGAAGTGGTGTGTGCAAATTCCAGGATATGTCCTTAAGGAAGGGGGTGTTCCCTTCTCCCACTCTTCCCAGTTATGCCTTGGAATGTGGATGTGGTGGCGAGCCATGTGGGATCACCGGAATAAGAGTGACTCAGGGAGAGCAGAGCTGCCATCCCAGACAAGGCTGCACCTCTGAGCTGCTGCGTGAGAAAAGGAAGCGTCCACCCTGTGGAAGCCACTGCATTGGTCACACAGACCCAGACCTGTCTCCTATGCCACACTGCCCATCCTTGCAGGCACCACGTTCAGAGTACTCAGATTTTGTTCTCAGAGTTCGCTGTGGGCTGAATGTCTAGGATAATGCCCAGGAAAGGAAGGCTAATGTGCCAACCGTTGAAGAGCATGTGTTTATAGCAATATCCCCACATTTAATGATAGGCTTCAGGAACGCTTGTAACCTTCCTTGGAGTTACCAGAACATTCTGGCGCCCCTAGCACAAAGGAGCATATCTGCGACATTTTCGTTTGCTGATGACTGTAAACAAGACACCTCATTTAAACGAAAGGCCACGGAGCCCCTGGAATGGGTCACGGTGTTACTGACTCGGTCCCTGAAGTTGATGAGGCCCTCAGCGTACCTCGCCAGAGCCCCGATGGCTCCGTATCTTAGAAGAAAACAGGGCAATATTTGCCTAAGAGGAGGCCTTGTCTATGATTCCCTTTTGTTTTTCAATATTCTTTGTCCTACTTAAAATGCAAGTAGTTGACCGTGGAGCACAGCCCCTACACATCCCTGGCATCCCGGCGGACCCTGATATAGTAACTGGGGCAATATTTGCATTATTAAAATGCTTCCCTGTCTAGCCTTTCTGTGAATCCTGGTCCAACAACTTTTTTTTTCCAGATTCAGAAGCTGCGGTGGGGAGAGTGGAGGCGTCCTGCATACTAATGTGTCCACATGTGAACTCCACGCAGCAGGAAACCTTAGATTCCCTGTTAAGCACAGTCTAACTCTAACTTGCCAAACCCACATGTCCCAGGAACTGATTATCTACTTTGGGTCTCTTTTCCATCTTCCCTCGGGGGCTACGGGCACCACCTCCCGGGTAGAGAGGGGGCAGGTAGGAGGGTAATGGGGAGACAGGTGAGGAGCTTCGCTTGGGCAGATCTCAAACAAGGAGGCATGTGGGCCTGGCTCATTTTCAGGATTCCACTTACTCTATCCCCTTCTTCTCTATTCTGTGGCTGCTGCCATTTTATCTCAGGCACATCTCCGGCCTTGACCCTCTCTTTTTACTCTACTCCACCTTTCACACCACCGTCATTAAATTTTCCATCAGTCCAGTGAGTCACTCCTTGGCATTCCTTCGTCAAGCACCAAGGACGGTCACTGTTGGTGGTGCCATGCTGTCTCCAGGTCCACAACCGCCGCGGGTGAGACAGAAGTCAGACACCATTTCCTGAGCACCTACTATGTGCCAGACACTGTGCTAACTGCCTTACCCAGGACAGGCAGGACTGAGCTGGCATTAGAACCCAGCTCTTTGCAACTCTTCCTCCCCAACACGGACCCTCAAACTCCATGGTGGCAATCGTGCCGATTAGCTGTCAAGGGGGATTGTCTCCTAAATGGCAACCCTAGCTCCCCAACACGGACCCTCAAACTCCATGGTGGCAATCATGTCTCCTAAATGGCAACCCTATTGTTAACCAGCCCTCTGCTTTCAATGAACTTTACACCAGACCTGCCTTTCCTGGGGGCCGCTATACCTCACCCCTTCTCTAGCTATTCCCTGAGCTCTGGGGGCCTGAGCCTGACTAGTTTGACTCAGGAGAAGCTGGGCAGGAAGAAGGGATGGGGCCTGCTGTTGAGTCTAAAACTATCCTCTGTGTGGCCTTTCCTCCAATCCTCTCCCATTGTATTTGCTGCCAGAGAACCTCTCCCAGATAGGCAGGCGCTGTCCCCATTTGGCAGAGAGGAAACCCATGACCAGACAGATTAAGTGACTTCTCCTGGGCCAAGCCAAGGAAAAACAGCTGGAACGAGAGCCCCGGGTTGCCAGGCCTGAGGGAGGCCCATGTGAGCCTTGTCAGGGGTCCCTACCACCCGTATTCCCTTCTCTAGGGCAGGATACAGCTGAGGCCCTGGGGGCTTCT